GTGTATCGACACAAGCTCATTGGTTGAAGCTTGAAACCTCTTGCGATCGTTGGGTGTCGTTGTCCTCTCTGCGAGGGTCATTAGATCGAGGAACGAAATTAATTGGGCGTTCTGCATTAACTGTGTACGGACGTGTACCATGTCGGATTGGTTGGTTACATCTTCTCCTGGGTATGTCGAGTCTTGTTTGTATGTAAGAATTGTCCCTGTGAAATACTTGCTCTAGTCGTCGATGCACTAGTAGCATATGACATGAACTAGGAGATTTGCGACATTGCTTGCCACGCCATTCTGCCCAGTGTTTGCGAGACCAATCTCGACTCCACAGCTCGTGGGAGCTTACAGCTTTTGCAGAGCAGACCACAGTTTGCTGTGAGCGACTGATGTCACTACGAGAGTGGCACATTTTGATATTTTTCTGAAGGTCCTTGGGGTGGAGCCCAACTGGACCAGGGCGAGGGAGGGGCAAGTGGGTAACCATTATGCCGCACAACTGGAGCAATGTTTCACATTACAGCAAGGTTGGGAGGGTGCAATATCTGACAAAGCTCCCCCGCAGGAAATCAAATCAGCTTACGAGTACAAGTCATCTTGCTTTGGAGAATCAGAATCTACCACGCGACGCGCTCCAGTTCCCCGAAAGGCCAAAATTTGGGGCAAAACAGACACAAATATGAAAAACGGTTGTGCTTTTAACGTAGGCGTATTTGCTAGTTGGGATCACAAAACGTGTGGCGAATCCACATGTCATCAACAATCTCATGTCACACCGAAGCTCTTGTTATAACCTCGATGCAAAATGAAACTAGGCATTTCCAGTCCAACGAGTCTGAGTGCAATCCTTGGGTCATCCCTGATTGGTGCATTGCTAAATCACAACAATTAGCCTAATATTCGATACTGATTCACTCAAGTTGTGCTTCGAGGGCTCTACTAAACCAGACGACAGAAGCAGCGAATGTTGACAAGTTCTATTGTATTTTTGTGAAATTCGTAGGGATCCTGTAACAATTGCGACTCAAAGCTGAATAAAGTGTACCTTGTACAGCATATTCTGTGGCAACGAAAAACTGTAGTTTTTTTTTTTTTTTTTAGATTGGTCAAGGAACAGGTGTCTACTCTGTCAGATCGGCATCGTGCAAAACTGCCAAAAGCTTGGTTGTCGCGAACATATATGGATGGACGAATGGAGAAAGAGTCAGAAACTCACCAGTCCTAACCATTGGGGATAAGAAGGGATGTCATCAGGAGGGTTATGCTCCATATATCTACCTTCCCCGGGGAAAGCCTCCCCAGTACCCTCCCTAGACATAGAGAGAGGATCGACAGGGTTATCTCAGTACTGTGCTTCTCTTTCCTCCTCGTTTACAACTTGAAATTATGTGAGCTAAATTTCAAAAGGGAGTCATTGTTGTACTGTACAGTAAGACTTTTGCTGGGATGCAATTGGGTTTTTAGTTGTTAGGTTATTGTTACTAGGACTCTGTGCACTGTAGTCACTGTTAGGTCACCGGGAGGAGGGTTTTGTCCCGTTCTAAGCTCTGAAGGGCATTGTAGCGTTCATTCTGAACCCATCCAACAGAAGCTTTAAACTCCCTAGGCACGGTACACTCGGGGGCTAGCATTGCGCTGCTGGATTAGAGCCGTCGAAACTGGCAAGCCAGCAACATTCGTGCTTTTCAGTCAGCTCTTGAGTCGAGCTTCAAGTAGAGGCCAATGTGGGTTACGCACCCTTATGAACTTGGCACGTTCGGGCCCGATGGCCCGCCACTTTTGTTTTGTTTGCAGAACTTGCCCGACTGTGCTGCGATCCGGCCATATACCGTATCTGGTGTGGCACCATCGCCCAATGTCTTCGAGCCGCAACGCCGGGTTCTTCTTGGCGTATTGGCAGATTGCAACCTTCTGTCCGACGGCTAGCGCAAAACAGTGCACAAGTGCCATGAGGACGACTTTGTGGGTTTGGCGAGCTCGTTCCTTGTATCGTGAAGAGGTCGCTGTTTGGGGTGTATAAATAACCCCGAGGTGTCGGAACTGCTGGCGGGGGGAACGATGTTGGGACCCTTCTGCAGCTTCCGTGGCGAGCTCGTATTGGCAGTGGGCAGACGGATTTTCCAGTGGCAACGCCGACGGATTTTGTTGGAATGGCTGGCGCAATTTTACTGGACCGCCTACGAGCTGCTCGTATCTAGCGCATCATGTGGATTTTTGCGTCGACATTGGTTGGCGAGCCTAACACATCTGGATTCTTTTTGTCTCGCCAACCACTAGGTGTGGTCGCTCTGAAAACACTAGAGCAATCTGATTGGATGCCCTTGGATCAGTCGAATTGACTATCTATATTACGGTTGAGTTGAGACGGGTACACTTTGCGTACAAGGAGAGGCCCTTAAGGATAAATTGCTTATGGAATACTCCTGGGCGTAAAAAGGGGTCGTCTACAAGGCATATGATCTCTTGTTATTGCGTTTTTTTATTATTGGAGCATTTGGCACAATTTCATTGGGTAAATACTGTACTATATCGGGCTGCAAATTTGCCCACGCTCGTCCTTGTTTTTTTCTACCAGCTCGAAGGGCCAAGTGGGAGTTCCGGATTTCCATTGATTTTAGAATCACTGTTGCCGATTTTCCAGTCAGCATACAGTTCAGAATCTGTGACTGTTGACTGTTGCGCCAACCGTGACTACAGTGCACAGAGAACTAAAAACCTGATGCAATTTGAACTCGAATGAAGAGATACTGTACATCATACAGTTTACATAACAGATGAAGACACACGTTCATTTTGTTACGGGAGCCACTCATTCGCAACGGGCAGCTCTGATTGGTGGGTATTCGACGGACATGGAAGGAGGTGGTTGTATTCGCCTGGAAGGGGACGGAATCGCCTCTAGATCACCCGCTCACAGACGGAATCCCCCCAAAAAAGCCCGTTACCGAAAGGAATCGGCCCTACAAATTCGGCTAGCAAGGAATCAGGGGGGGGGGGGGGGGGGGGGGGAATCAGGGGGGGGGGGGGGGGGGGAAATCAGGGGGGGGGGTGGGGGGGGGGGGTTTGGGGTGGGTTGGGGTTTTGGCGAAAGGGGGTTGGGGGGAGAGGGGGGGGGGGGGGGGTGGGGGGGATAGCTCCCCCCTACAAATTCACCAACTACAAGTATAGCCTGTACGGATATAGAAAAAAAAAAAAAAAAAAAACGTATTCGTTGGAAAAGGAATCGCGCGAAATCATTTCCGTAAGCTGGACGGATTCGGAAAGAAATTGCTCCGTGGAAAACGAAAACGCTGGAGAATTTACTCTTAATTTCTCAACGGGTAATTACTTTGTCTCGAGAGGCCTGGTTCTCGACAAGTCCGCCAGCTGGCAGCAGCGTGAAGAAAGAAGCCTGTTGCTGGCAGGCCTGCACAAGTCGCACCGATATCGAGATGGATTCGGCGGTGAAGGTGAGCTACATCGAGAAATTAAAGCCCGCGTCTCATATTTCCTAAGTGGAAACGCTTGGTACTGGGTAACGTAGATTCTCTTTGTGCAAGGGCTCGCCAGTGTTTCGGAACATGGGCTGGGTACACGAAATCAGGACCCGAAAGTGACTCAAGCAGCAAATTTTGGCGCAAACTCAACACTGGAATTGCAACTGCTTGCGAGTCTTTGAGAACCCAACCCCCACCATCCAAGCCCTTAACGTTTCGAGGGCTCAAACCACTAGGTATTACGGGTCCGCAGAAATATGACTTGAAGCCTCATCAAAGTTGGACCTTCCAGGATTTCCAAAATTGTCGCAACCCTCGCCCACTCTCTTTCGAAATTTCGCCCGTCGTCCAAGCAGACCCTCTCCCACTAAAGGTAATACCTTTGGTCGGTAGGAAATATGAGATGCGGGCTTTAAGACAGGTGGAAGGGGGGGTGGGGGAGAGGGGGAGGGGTGGGGGGACGGGGGGGGATGGGTGATGGTGGGAAGGAGGGGGGGTGGGGTGGGTGGGGGGGTGGGGGACGGGCAGGGGGTGGTAGTACACATGGGGTGGGACGATTCGATTTACTGTATTTATTTATTTATTTTGGTTCGTTTTGGCATGCTCGCTGATCGGACAGCTGGGTGACCCGTTGCATCCAATGGTCAACTCAACCCCAGACCCGTTTCGATGGGCTCGGGCGGAAGGGGACCTGTGCTTCACAAGTGACAGGTTTGCAGTGACATTCACGGGGTGATCTTGCAAGCAAGGCACTGAATTCTCCACTTTTTTGGAATACCGAGCGGTGCGTGTGGGCAAGTTGAAAACTCTCTGTTGTTTTGTTGCCAATGAAGTGAGGGGCGCGTCGTGTACTGGAGGGTGTGCTGTGTCGGTCGGAAGAAAGGGCGGCGGGTGGGGGGGGGAGGGATGGAGAGGCGGGGGGGGGGGGGGGTCCCTCTCTCCCCTCAGGTCCGGTCGGGATGGGGGGCGAAGTGGGGCTCGCTTTGCCTCAGATCTGGGCCAGGGACAGCGGGAAGTGGGGGACAGCCTGGCAGTGTGTAGAACTGGCATTGTGACCCACATGACGTCAGACTCGCCCCTGCTCGAGGCACAGCCTGATGGTGTGTCATAAGCGTCGACTGGTAGTGTTCAAAATGATTGAACAAGTAATTGACGAGGTCGTTCTCTCCAGGGCGACTGGTAACGCTTTCTCGCTTCTTAAACGAAGGCGAAATGACCGCCGGCTATCTTTCACGTTTTTATTATTACCACGTACTGCTTCACGCAGTCTGCAAATCCCCATTAAGGCGAACCCGGTGGTGTCGCCTCTCCAATAACAAAATTAGAATGGTTACAAGCGCTTTTCGGGTAACTGGCCGTCCTAGCGCGTCGATTTTGAGTTCACGACACGCCCTGGGTGCCGCTGGACTCCGGTTTCCTCCTGTCCTCCTCCTGCCACCCTGCAAGATTCTCGGATCTCGACCTTGTGCCATGGCGCAGGCTTGTCTCTTCCAAAGCCTAGCTTTCTTACTAACAGGCGGTGTTTGGTGGACGGGCATGGCAAGCGTTGACTATTTTTATTAGCTGCTGTTCCATGGCTCACCCTAAAGTCCACGGATGCAACAGAAGAGAGCATAAAAATGTGTTATGGCCATCACATTCAACTTTCACGCGCAGACTCCGTTTCTCGCCGCGCTGTTACAGTGCTCGGTGCTCTCTCTCGCTCTCTTCATTCACTCGTTCATGCGCAGATATCCATCCTTCCCTCAACGTAGGACTACTATACTAACCGCGGAAAGCTCGCGTCCCGCGGCTGGGATTGGAGCACGCAACGCTGCACCGAGTTCTATCGCGACTGTTCCTGGAAATTTTGGGATTGCGGCGGCTGCGAATGAAAGGCCTTCGCGGCGATGATCGCACTGCCATTCACTCTTGATCTTGACCTAGTTCAGCCACCGTCAGGAATTGTACCCTAGAACGTCTTCCTGTTTCGAATTCGGATCCACTATTCCGATCTTGCCGTGGCAGTGCAGTGCATTACCGCATCGCATTGTAGTACCGCGGCATTACCTCGTTCAAACTACCGCATTCACCGTGACGGCCCGTGGCCGGGCCACCATTGACGGCATTGACGGCATTGACGGCATTGACGGCTTTGACGGCGGTGTGCGGCATTTGTGCGCGGTGCGAGCTCGGGCGTCGTCGAGTCAGCCTGACGCGCGGACTACAAGCACGCTGGTCGCGTGGTCTTGCCGCGGTCACTGCGCGCCGAACAGCCCGTGCCGCTGCCTGCCGCGGCGTCGCGGCGGTACTGCTACGAGGCCTTCGGCTCTGACGCGGATTTCCCGCCCGAATGGAGGTCTGAGCTTTCCCCTTGACGAGGTGAATCGCCGCGCGAGGAGATGATGCTCCGCACGCCACCGCGTCTTGCGCCGCCACCGCCGGTGCCTACTGCTGTCGCTGCTGCTGCCGCTGCTGCAGGTTGGATGGTAAAATTTGAGCCTGAGACGTCAAATTTCGATGGGAGGTGTTGGGATGAGCAATGTGCGGCCGCATTGCAGCAAGAGCAGCAGCAGCCGCAGCAGCAGAAGCAGCAGCAGCACCAGCAGGAGCAGCAGGAGCAGCAGGAGCAGCAGGAGCAACGTGCCGCCGCATTGCAGCAAGAGCAGCAGCAGCAGCAGCGGCAGCAGGAGCAATGTGCCGCATTCCAGGAAGATCAACAGCAGGAGCAGCAATGTGACAGCGGGTCACAGTGCGAGCATCACTACCAACCTCTGACTCGGACCAGCCTGCCGCTCTGCTGGACAAAGCAGTTGGAGCCGCAGCGGCAGCTGTTCCAGCTGCCGCAGCCGCAGCACCAGCACCAGCAGCTGCAGCCGCAGCACCGGCACCAGCAGCCGCAGCCGCAGCACCAGCACCAGCAGCCGCAGCCGCAGCACCGGCACCGGCAGCCGCAGCAGCAGCACGAGCAGCCGCAGAAGCAACAGCACGAGGAGCTGCGGCACAGAAGTTTGAGCGTTTGGCAACTGCCGCCACCCAAGCAGGCACCTGGATCGTGCGGCGTCTCGCCCATGGGAGAAGTATTTGATGGACACTTGCTACGTCATCAACTCCAACAGCAGCAGCAGCAACAAACATCGTACTGCGAGCAGCACAATGCCCCAAACGAGGGGTACAAATGGAAGAAGACGTCGCACAAACGAATAGCGGGTCAGCCTGTGAAGAGGTGAGAAGATCCTCGGCCATGCCGTCATCGCAACGTCTCTCCTGCCATCACCTTTGGTCGGCTCTAGTCCGGTCAGCTCTGGTCTGATCAGCTCTGGTCCTGACGACACTTGTCTGGTCGGCTCTGGTTTGATCGGCTCAGCTAAGTCGGTTTGGGTTAGTTTGTGTCGGCTTGGATCGGCTGAAGAAAACTGATGCGCCTCGCTTGCTCCCTTCATATCCAGCATGCTAGGCTTCTGAAGGGTCTCCCCAACCTGTGTGTGCGCGTGCGCCCTCTTTCTCCCCTCCTCCCCGCAGGCTCTACTTCGTCTGTGCGTCTAAGCACGTCACGGGTTGCCCGGCAAGAAAGATTGAGGATCGAGTGGCTGGCGAGGCCCGTCACCCGCGCCGGCTCAAGCTGACAGGCGGCGTTGGAAAAACTGCAGCCGTGGGGAAGACCACAACTGCCGCAAGAGATGCAGCTACAACCAGAGCTACAGCTACAGCTGCTTCCGAAGCTGCAGCTACAACCGGAGTGGCTGTAGCAGGACGTGCAGAAGAAGTCGACACGGCGTCGGACAGGACGGAGATGCGTGTGGTGGTGCGAGTGGCACATTTTGGCTCGCACAACCACCCACCGCCCGTGTTGGAAGCTTCTAAAGCTCTTCTCTCTGGTCCTTCTGCCATCAGCCTCCTTCCCACCCTAACTTGCCCCTCTGCTGCTACAGCCTCCATCTCTGCTACAACCTGCGCTCCCGCTACAACCTGTGCTCCCGCTACAACCTGCGCTCCCGCTACAACCTGCGCTCCCGCTACAACCTGTGCTCCCGCTACAACCTGTGCTCCCGCTACAACCTGTGCTCCCGCTACAACCTGCGCTCCCGCAACGAACAGACTTTCCACCCCAACTTCTCCTGCCTTCCCGACGCCTCTTCCCCTTTCCTTTGCTCCTTTGCCTGCCCCCGCTTCCGCCCCTCTGGCTGTTGACGCGCCCCAAGCGGCGTGCTTCCAGCCTTCCCAATCTCCGTTGGGGTCCATCCCCTTGGAGCCAACGCACGGGTATCCCGCCGCACCCTCCTGTGATTCTCCTGCTACGCTGGCTCCTGCTCCTGCCGCGCTGGCTTATGCTCCTGCCGCGACAAGCCCCCCGTACAGCAGCCAAGCCTCCTCCCCCCTGCTCCATCGCCTTTCTCCTCTCCCTCCTCTCTCCACTACTCACCCCCCTCCTCTCCCTCCTCTTGCTCCGTTCTCCACCACTTATCCCCTTCCTCGTCCTCCTCTTGCTCCTTCCTTCGCACATTCTTCTGACATCACCAACAGCAACATCAACAGCAGGTGCTTTGTCACAAGCCAGTTACCAGTGGCGGCAGCGGCATCGGCAGTGGCAGCACCAGCAACAGCGAAAGGAAACGCCTGTGCTGACAGCCCAAGGCTGGGCGTGCTGGAACCACATCCGCTGCAACAGCAGCAGCAGCAGTACCAACAGCAGCAGCAGCAGCAGCAGCAGCAGCAGCAGCAGCAGCAGCAGCAGCAGCAGCAGCATCAGCAGCATCAGCATCAGCAGCATCAGCAGCGGCAGCATCAGCAGCATCAGCAGCATCAGCAGCATCAGCAGCATCAGCATCAGCATCAGCAGCATCAGCATCAGCAGCATCAGCAGCATCAGCATCAGCAGCATCAGCATCAGCAGCATCAGCATCAGCAGCATCAGCATCAGCAGCATCAGCATCAGCAGCATCAGCATCAGCAGCATCAGCAGCATCAGGAGCAGCCTCAGCAACAATACCAGCACCAGCACCAGCACCAGCACCAGTACCGTCAGCACTTGCAGCAGCAGGCGCCTGCATCTCTTCTTTGCAGCGAGCAACTACCAATGCACATGACTGGATTTGCTCCCGATGTAACTGCTCACGCTGCAGACCTTACAACTCATTCACCTGACGTGACCGCTCATGCTACTGATGTTACAACTCATTCTCCTGATGTAACCGCTCATGCTGCTGACCTTACAACTCATTCACCTGACGTAACCGCTCATGCTACTGACGTTACAACTCATTCTCCTGATGTAACCGCTCATGCAACTGACGTTACAACTCATTCTCCTGATGTAACCGCTCATGCTACTGACGTTACAACTCATTCACCTGACGTAACCGCTCATGCTACTGACGTTACAACTCATTCTCCTGATGTAACCGCTCACACAGCTGACATTACAACTCCTTCCCCTGACTTAACTGCTCACTCTGCTGACGTTACAACTCATTCTCCTGATGTAGCCGCTTGCGCTGCTGGCGTTACAACTCATTCTCCTGATGTAACAGCTCACGTTGCTATCACTGGTGCTACCTCTCAGGGGAGCGACGTTCAACCTCCTGTGGTCCCATCTTTGCAGCGAAGCAACACATTGCTATGGCCAGCTGATGGTGTTGCCATGTCAGCACATGATGGCATTGCCACGTCAGCTTGCAATGGTGCTGCCACATCAGCACGTGTAGCCACTGCAACAAATTGCGTTGCCGTGTCAGCATGTTGTGCCGAGGCTGGCCAATATGGGGCCGGCCAACAAGGGGCCGGCCAACAAGAGATGGAGTATGGGCAGAGGTCAGCAGCAAGTCAATCTCAGGAGAAACCGAGTCAAGGGGTGCAGGAGTACCAACTGCCTTTGTTCCAAGCGTACTCGCAGCAGTGCTACCAGCCGCCACAGCAGCAGCTGCAGCAGCAAACTGGCTGCTTGGTGGGTGGTGGGGGAAGCAGCAACGGCCGTACCATCAGCAGCCGAGGCTATACAGTGGAGTTTGACACGGAACAGTGCAGCCTATTTTCTGTACCCCCTATAAGCAGGCTCGACAGTAGCAGCGCTTGCGGCACCAACACCAGTAAGATGCAGTCTGATGGTAGGAGCAGCAGCCTCTCGACTTCCTGTAGCAGCACCAGCAGCAGTCTCCCTCAACTGTGCAACCGACTCTGCACTGACAACGGTGTCATTATCAACAGCCGCACGATTGACCCTATTAACTGGGTAAACCGGATTAACAAGATTAATGGGATTAATTGGACTGACCAGAACCACCCTACGGACCCTATAGACGGGCACAACAGCATGGTGAGCAGTGGCAGCAGCATGAGCATCGTAACTAACATAAGCAGCATCAATGGCTGCTTCATGGATCCATGGTCGGATACCGACACAGCAGTCATCGGACAGCACCTGGAAGCTCCCTCTGCTGCTGGTGTGTGCCTGGATGACCTGTACTTGGTACCAGATGACGTCACCAAGGTCCCGGGCGGCATCGGCAACATGAGGGAGTGCCAAGTCATCATAGGGTTTGGAGATTCAGATCTGATGCACTTGCCTGCTGCGCATGGCTGTGATGACATGGATCTTGTACTGTTTGATTGCTCATGCTAGGTGTTGCTTCAAAGCGGTGTAAAACTGTCGTGAAGATACTATGTTAGTAATCTTTTGCATTAGGTTCATGGCTTACCCTATTCCCCCGGATAAAACACCCTAGGGTGGCACTAAATTTTGATGCAAAATTCAGTGGGGCTGTAATTAGTGGCACTTTTTGTACAACGCCCGGGGGCTATGGAATGACATTGTTTGTTATGAAACCAGGATTAAGATGTGTCGTCTTGGAGCCGCGTCGTCTGGCGAAAGAAATCGCCCGTAGCATGTGATTTCACGCCGTACCGTCCTCCCACCCTTCCCATCGCAGCCAGCCCTCCTGCTGCTTGCGCGGGTCGCTGTCCATGCTGCTCGCTGCTCGCACTGCTCGCGCTCGCACTGCCCGCTGCCGCTGGCCGCTGTCCCCTGCTCGTGCTGCCCGCTGCCGCCCGCTGATGGCGCTGCCCACTGTCCGCTGCTCGCCACCCGCTACGCGCCGCCCACTGCTTACCGCCCACTGCGCGCCACCCGCTGCTAGCCGCCCGCTGCGCGCCGCACACTGCTCGCCGCCTGCTGCCCGCCGCCCGCTGCTCGCCGGCTGCCCGCCTGCTGCCCGCCCGCTCGCGCGCGCGCGCAGCTGCCAGCGCAGCCGCAGTTGCAGCCACGGGAAGGGGAAGGATAGAGGACGGATAGGGGAAGGAAAGAGAGGTGGCGAAGGGGAAGGAGAGAGGACGGGAAGGGGAAGGAGAGAGAGGGTGGGAAGGGGAAGGAGAGAGGGCGGGAAGGGGAAGGAGAGAGGGTGGGAAGGGGAAGGATAGAGGGTGGGAAGGGCAAGGAGAGAGGGCAGGAAGGGGAAGGAGAGAGGGTGGGAAGGGGAAGGAGAGAGGGCGGGAAGGGGAAGGAGAGGGTAGGGAGAGGTAGAGAGAAATAAAATGAGGTGAGTGGAGAGGGCAGAGAGAGAGAGAGAGAGAGAGAGAGAGAGAGAGAGAGAGAGAGAGAGAGAGAGAGAGAGAGAGAGAGAGATGGGGAGAGAGAGAGAGAGAGAGAGAGAGAGAGAGAGAGAGAGAGAGAGAGAGAGAGAGAGAGAGAGAGAGAGAGAGAGAGAGAGAGAGAGCATGAGTCCCTCCCTAGCTATTCAAGCCCTCTCCCTAGCTCATTCTCCTTGTTTAGTTTTCTGCTCTTCATTTTCTCCCACCCTTGGTGGCGGCTAGAGAGAGAGGAGAGAGAGAGCGAGAGAGAGAGAGAGAGAGCATGAGTCCCTCCCTAGCTATTTAAGCCCTCTCCCTAGCTCATTCTCCTTGTTTAGTTTTCTGCTCTTCATTTTCTCCCACCCTTGGTGGCAGCTCGCGTCGGCGGCCTCCGGCCGCGCGTGAGGGGACGGCAAGCGCACAAGGATATAATATCCACTAGGACAACAGAAAGGACACAAATACAGTGCCTACATCCCGCCCACGCTACACTCAGCAGGCCAGCATGGAGAGCCTCACCGAGCTTACCAGAGCGCTCACGCTGGGGCGCACTTCACCAACAAGGACCTATACACGACGAAAGCCCGTCACGCGACTTGGTCCGCTCCAGCTTCCTCTAGCAGGGCCTTCATGTAGTCCACCAGGAGCATCAGTGCTGACACAGCGCCGCCAACGATGTCTACAGCTGCAGCCGAGTCTACGCTCGCCGATACTCCCCGCATCACTGCAAGCAGGCGCGGGTCCAACACGGTTCCCGGGGCGGGTGCAGGCTGCACTCGCGTTGACATGACAGCCAGATCAGCTGCAGCCATCGCGCAGCGGTGGAGAGGATCATGAGGCATCTTGCATGGGCTCGCTGAGCTCCATAAAATGGAGTGCGAGTCCGTCAGCATCTCCACGGCATACCCCATCGCCCGCTGCGTGTGCCAGAGCCGACGAAGCGTGGCGACTGGGATCGCAGTCTCCGCCAGGCGCTCCCTCCCACACAGGCGCTCCAGCTGTGCTCTCTGCGGCAACCGCAGCCCAGCCGATCGACGCCGCCTCTGGTCCCCAGGGGGCGAGTCATCACCCGTGGACTCAGCCCCCCCCATCTCCGCTGCTTCTGCCCCCCCCTAAACTCCAGTCGGCGACTCCAGCGCGCGACGCGGGGGGACTAACGGCGCCATCGCCATATCGCCGAAGGACGCTGGCACCACCATTGGCGGCTGACGGCTGGACCAACCCACCACTGATGCCTCCAGGGGCAGCAGCTGCCAGCGTGGCAGAGTCTCCGAGGGCTGCACGTTCATCTGGTGCGGCACCACTCGTGGTTGGTGCGGAAGGAAAGGAGCGGCAGGGGGGAAGTCCGGCGGAGGATGAGTGGACGGAAGAGGCGGTGGAGGTTGTTGATACGGTGGGAGTAGCGGAAGCGCCGCATTGCGCGGCGGGATCGCCAGCGCTGACATCTGCTGCGGCGGGAGATGCGCTTGTCGCTGATGCGCCTGGTGATACTGCTGCGACGCCGGAGGCTGGGGGGATACTCCATTGGCTGCTGCGGTGGGGCGACAGAGCGGAACAGGCTCTCGAGTAACGCGGCAGCCTGCCCTAAACGCCTCTCTGCGGCCGATCCGCGGTTACTCCCCCCGCCGGCCCTCCAGCCTTGGCGCTGGCCAGAACGCCCGCGCTGCGCCTGCGGTGTCCGGTGCTGCTGCGCCAGCTGCGCCTGCGGGCGGCGTTGAGGTGTCCCACGGCGGGGAGGGGGCTGTGGCTGGGGCTGCACCTGCGGGCGGCGCTGAGGTGTCCCACGGCATGGAGGGGGCTGTGGCTAGGGCTGCTGACGCGCCGCGCTCTGGACGCCGTGCACCACTGGTCTGCGGTCAGGGTCCAGGGCGCGCTCGGGAGTCTTCTCCTCGCGACGCCGCGGGGTGGACGGCCGACTCCCCGACCGCCCGCGCATCCGCTCGGGGGTCTGCTGACGGGCAGGCGAGGGAACGGAGAGCCCGCGCTCCCAATCGCGGTTCGACCGGGCTGGGGAACTCCCCCGACCTTGGGGGGGCACACTCTCCCCAGTGCTCTCCAAGTCGGCGGAGCGCTCATGCGGGGGCCGGCCCAGCTCGAGCCCCAGTGGCTGGTCCATCAGGAAGAGACGCGCCGCGCTCGGCCACAACTCGACAAGAACGACGGACGGCGGACAGGGCAACCCCGGGAGGAGTTCGGGGAGGAGGGGGCAGGAGAAACTCTGGGCAAGCAGTACGGGGTCGCGGACGCGGGCGAGCCAGGCAAAGCGACCTGTCCTCTGACGGGGGTCCGCTGAACGATTTCCAGCTCACAGCGAATAGGGCTTTAAGGGCCATAGGATTGCACGGAACTACTAGTGAGGAGGAGCGGGCTGACAGAAATTATGTACCTGGGGAGCAGAGGGAATCTACAACAGACGCCTCTAGTGAGGAGCGAGACGAGGAGACTCACAGGTGCTCCAGAAACGGAACTGCTGTCCCAACTCCCAGATCTAGGGGACGCAGGTTCTGCAGCAGGCGTAATGCCCGGGTACCGCTGGACACCCATCCCCAGTCATTCTCGCATGTGTCCCTAGAAGAGCTAGCAAGCGACGCCTCTCGATTCGTCGGGATCGCCAGCTGGGACATCGCGATATTATGCGACACCTGCCAACCCTCTCCCGTCGGTTACCTCCCCAAATTCGTCAACTATTCGCGCTCGCCCTGCTGACACCCCTCATTTTCCTCGCCAAAAATCCAACCTCCACGGAGGGTTGGATCTTGTTACTTTTTCTCCCACGTCTCACCCTTCGCCTACCATCGCCAAGACATCCTGATTGGCCCGTGGCAGAAAAACGCCTCCGACAATTCCTCGCGGGCCAGTGGGACGCTCTGTACCACGCAGTCGCGTCTGCTGTCACCCTGCCACCCCCACCCCGTCACAAACCTGACACCCTCGGGAGAATATCCTGAGCCGAGGGGTTGGTGCGACGTGGCAGCCTGCGACGGGCCCTGCTCGAAATGACTTCAACCCCAGTCAGCGAGTCCAGCCCCGCTGTCTTGGAGGTGCTGAAGTCAAAACACCCCCCCCCCCCCCCCCCGCTAGCCGCAGACCTTCACTGGCCGCAGCTGGGCGAGGATTACACGCCGCCCACTATCGACTTCGACGTCTTCACGAAACTCCTCTCACGCCGCGAAAATGGGGTTGGGGCGGGGCCATCGGGAATGACTTTCGAGCACCTTCGCGATGCCTCGCTTACCAACCCCTCCATCGCCAAGCTCCTCCACGAGCTCATCCAGCGACTCCTCGTTGGTAACCTGCCGCACGAGGTCAGCCAGCTCCTGACTTCCTCACGCCTCCTAGCACTCACCAAACCAGATGGAGGTACTCGCCCCATCGCTATCGGCGAGTGCCTGCATCGACTAGCGGCTAAATCCGCACTCGTCTCTTCAACACAACCAGCACAAGACCATTTTCTCCCACACCAATTCGGGGTGGCAATCCGAAGCGGAAGGGAGATAATCATACATGCCACCAGGGGCTTCACCTCCGCGCACCCGGGATCGCTGATCCTGCAGGTCGATCTCACGAACGCGTTCAACAATGTCAACCGCGGGGCTATCATCTACGCCATCCATCACTCGCCCCTACGCCACCTCCTACCGTTTATCCAGCTCTCGTATGGGGCACCGTCCCTGCTTTACCTCGACGCGGAGTTCAGTAGCCCACCCCTACTGAGCGCGCGGGGAGTGCGCCAAGGAGACCCTATGGGCCCCTTGCTCTTCGCGGCAGCCATCCACCCTGCGCTCTAGGCCACCGCGGCAAACCACCCCGAGGTCCTCTGTCTCGCCTACGCGGACGATGTGACCTTCGTGGGCAACCCATGTGCCTGCACCTCGGCATTCAGGACTTCACCTCCGGCATGGAAGGCATCGGCCTTTCTCACAACCCCGCGAAGTGCGCGGCATGGTCCACCGAACGCCCCGTGCATGACTGCCTCCCGCCGGACATACCCTTCAAAAGCGAAGGGGTGTGCGTGCTGGGCAGCTTTATAGGCACACCTGAGGGCTCAGCAGGTTTTCTCCGCACCCAGCTCGCCGCGCTTGCCGAACCCCTCGCCACACTGGCCACGATGGACCCACAGCCCTCCTTCCTCCTCCTCACACGCTGCATGTCCAGGTGCATCTC